GAAGTCCCCAAACCTAGAGAGTACAGTAAACATCCAAACATAAGAGGCATTTAAACCCCCAAATGGACATAACCAGAGAAGAAACTCTCCATGGCACATCAGAGTCACAATATGAGAAATACAAAGCAAGGTTGGGCTCAGAGACACCACTTTTAATCCCAGTACTCAGAGGCTGAGACAATTGGATGGCTGTGAGTTCAAGACCAGCCTGGTCTACATAGTGAGTCCCATGACCCCCAGAGCTACATAGTGAAAACCTATCTCAAAGCAAGCAAACATACAACAGCAAGAAAAGACTGAAAACAGTGTGAGAAAAATTACTCTCATACAAGGACAGGAATCTCAGACTCTCCTCAGATTTTCATCAGCAACACAAAAGTATGGAAGGAAACATTCCAGGATCTGAAGTAAAAGGCAACCCCAAAGCTCTATTGTAATGAACACTTTCCCACCAGCCTGGTTCCACAGCTACATCAGCCCCAAATAACACACAGAGACTTATATTAATTATGAAACTGTTGGCCATTGGCTATAGCTTCTTTTTTGGCTAGCTCTGTCTTAATTATTAACACATTTTCTATTAATCTAAGTATTTCCATGTGGTCTTCTCTAACTGGAGAAAAGTCTGGGGACCTGTTACTCCTCTGGTGTCCTACATGGTGACTGACTCAGTGTGTCCACAGAGAAGAGTGTGATTTCCTGTTTCTCCCTGCTTATATTCTGATTCTTCCCAGCTACATCACTTCCTGCCTGTCTGTACAGACCTCCAGACCTCTATGGTTAGCTAGTGGCAGTTTCTGCCTAGCTACATTACTTTCTGGGATCGTCACCTCTCTACCTATACTTCCCAGAATCTTCCTTTTCTCCTAGACCCACCTATCTTGCTGCCCTATTGGCCAACAGTGTTTTATTCATCAACCAATAAGATAAACATATACACAAGACCATTCTCCATCACTCTATGTCCAAACTTGTCCCAAAGAGCTGTTTCTAAAAGCCTAATGCTAAAAATTGCAAGTACTGAAAAGTACTGTTGCCAATCCCAGTCAGACTTTGTAGTACTGACTGCTAATGATAGCACTAGTGGAGTGTTTGTTGGCTTGAGAACTAAAAACACCAACAGCCAAGGCTGGGCCTGTCTCACTTTCCCCCATGCCCTGACTTTCTGTGGCATTCGTATGTAGCATGGTTAATAAAAGACCCAGAGACCGATATTAGGGTTCAAGCTTCAAGCTGAAGATCAGAAAAGCAAAGCAGCCAGGCACTAGCTCTTACCTCTACCTCAGCTCAGACCAAAGGGGCGGTCCTAGACTGCTCCCGACTTCACTGCTCCTCAGATCACTCAGACTGCTATGCTCGCCTCGACATGGCTAGAGACTAACTCTCAGACTGAATGCCTCTACTCTTTATACCTCTCAAATCCTGGAATTAAAGGTGTGAGCTCTGATTTACTCTCCAGTAGCCCAGGGTGATCTTGGACTCAGAGATCCATCTACCTCTTAATCCTGAGTCCTGGGATTAAAGGTATGCATCACCACTGCTTTGCTTTCTGAATCCTCAGGCAAGCTTTAATAAATCATAAATAATCTATCACCACCCCTACAACTTTGGCTATTTAGCTCTTCTCTTGCAGTCCTCCAGCCTTAGGGAACAATGGTCCAGGACTTCCATCTCTCCCTCACTTTCCTTTATCACCCAGCCGGAGGCTGATGTGAAGGATGGTCTGCCCAGGGCGTTCCTGCTGGGGGAAGTGCCTCAGCCTCAGGTGCGTGTCATTACGCTGGGCAGCAGTCACATAACTAAGGCACCCTCTCCCCATTTGTGCTACTCAGGAACAGCCATTTCCAGAGTGTCCTCAGAGACACATGGCAGAACTCACTGGACAATCAAGCAAGCATGCCAAGTCTGTAGCAGAGAGAAGACAATGGACACTGGCATTCTCCCCATGGACATCCATCTCCAGATAGCTCAGCTTCAGGCACGTGTCTTACTAGCCATGCAACCAACACCATAGTAACAAGGTACACCACCACTAGGAAAAGAATGGCCATGTTGGAATTCCCTGTGACTCTCAGGAATTTCCCTCAGAGTCTCTGCCTTCTTTGTATGCCTTACGACCCAGGTAAGGGCCACACAGTTGTCCCTGTCGTCATCATCTTTAGTTCTATTGTGCCCTAGGTTGGGCCAATTTGTGTTGTGGAATATTATTTTAAGATGTTCGTCCATTTATGCTCTGGAACATTTGTTTAATGATGCAAAGATGTGTTATTTTTGTTTATGCTGCCATTTATTAAACTCTGTGAAGCTGTGTCTAAAACACCTGATGGTCTAATAAAGAGCTAAAATATACAAAGAACTCAAGAAGCTAGTTACCAAAACACTAAATACTCCAATTAAAAAGTGGGGTGCAGAACTAATTAGAGAATTATCTACGGAGGAAATGGAGCACTTAAAGTGCTCAATATCCTAGCCATCAGGGAAATGCAAATCAAAACAACTCTGAGATACCATCTTACTCCTGTCCGAATGGCTAAAATCAAAAATGCCAAAGACAGTTTATGTTGGAGAGAATATGGAGAAAGGGGGTACACTCCTCCACTGCTGGTGGGAGTGTAAACTCATACAGCCACTTTGGAAATCAGTATGGCAGTTCTTCAGAAAAATGGGAATCAGTCTACCTCAAGATTCAGTAATTACACTCTTAGGCATATTCCCAAAAGATGCACATTCATACAACAAGGACATCTGTTCAACTATGTTAATAGCAGCATTATTTGTAATAGCAAGAACCTGGAAGCAACCCAGATGCCCCTTAACTGAAGAATGGATGGAGAAAATTTGGTCCATTTATACAATGGGGTACTACTAAGTGGAAAAACACAATGCAATCCTGAAATTCACAGGGAAATGGATGGAACTAGAAGAAACCATCCTGAGTGGGGTAACCCAGTCACAAAGAAACAAACACGCTATGTACTCACTCATTTATGGATTTTAGATAGACAGCAAAGGATTACCAGCATACAACTCACACCGTCAGAAAAGCTAAGAAACCAGGAGGACCCTAAGAGAGACATATATGTCCCCTGGAGAAGGGGAATGGGACAAGATCTCTGAGCAAATTGGGAGCATGGAGGAAGATGAGAGGGAGTTAGGAGAAAGAGAAGGGGAGGAAAGGAGAAGAGGATGAGGGAACAGGAAGATTGAGACAGGGAAAAAAATAGAGGAGAGCAAGAAAAGAGACACCGTAATAGAGGGAGCCATTATAGATTTAAGGAGAAGTCTGACACTAGGGAACTGCTCAGAGATCTACAAAGATGAGCCCAACTAACAATCTGAGCAATAGTGGAGAGACTACCTTAAATGCCCTTCCCCAATAATGAGATTGATGATTACCTTATATGCCATCCTAGAGCCTTCATCTAGTAGCTGATGGAAGCAGAAACAGATACCCACAGTTGAACACTAGATGGATTCCTGGAATCCAGTTGCAGAGAGGGAGGAGTGATGAGCAAAGGGGTCAAGACCAGGCTGGAGAAACCCACAAAAACAGCTGACCTGAACAAGGGGGAGCTCATGCACCCCAGTCTGATAGCTGGGAAACCAGCATAGGAAGGACCCAGACCCCTGAACATGGGTGTTAGTTAGGAGGACTGGGAAGTCTATGGGCCTCTGGTAGTGAATCAGTATTTATTCCTAGTATATGAATGGATTTTGTGAGCCCATCCCACATAGAGGGATACTTTCTCAGCCTAGATACATGGGGAGAGCCTAGGCCCTGCCCCAAATGATATGACAAACTTTGAAGACTCCCCACAGAAGGCCCCACCCTTCATGGGGAGCAGAAAGGGGGTAGGCTGGGGCTTGGTGGGGGTGATAGGGGAGGATGGGAGTGTGAGGAAACTGGGATTGACATGTAAGACAACTTTATTTCAAATTTAAATTTAAAAAGGGGGGGCTAATAGCCAATAGCAAACCAGGAGAAAGGATAGGTGGGGCTGGTAGGCAGAGAGAATAAATAGAATAAATCTGAGAAAAGGAGGAAGAAATTAGAGAAAGAGCAGGAGAGGGATGGAACCAGATAGAACAAGGAGAGGAGGACCTCCAGGGCCAGCCACCCAGCCACCCAGCCAGCCATAGAGTAAGAGTTAAAGTATGATACACAGAAGTAAGAAAAGGAAAAGGCCCAGAGGCAAAAGGTAGTCAGGATAAGTTAAGAAAAGCTGGCAAGAAACAAGCCAAGATAAAACTGGGAATTTGTAAGAGAGAAATAAGCCTCTGTGTGTGAATTATTTGGGAGCTGAGTAGCAGACCCCCAAAATAGCAAAGAAAAAAAAAGCTAAAAGAGTAAAGAGTTTTAAAAAGTAAAAAACAAACACCAACAACATTTTGGCATTCCAACATGGGGCTAGAGTAAAAGAAAATCCAACAAATGTGCTAACTTTTTCTAGGGTAGATGTGAAGTTTATTCACCTTAGACTGAGCAGAATGACAGACCAAACTATGATTCCATCAAAGCCCAACTTGATGAGTTTACTATGCTTACTTACAAACACAGGTGGAGGTCACTTACAGAACAGCATCCTCATACATTGTGAATGATGGCCTCGAGCTACATCAGAGAGTTCCTCTTACAGTTAACCTTTCATTTCCTAGTAGACCACATTTCCCAAGATCACTTGCAGCTGCAAGGGGGACCTGGCAGGTGCAATGGCTTGAATCTCAGATGAGGACCATGACCCTTGCTATCTACCAAAATATGTCAATAGCTACCACTTTTATAATAGACTTGTCTATCACTACAATACATTGATCATTAGTAGCCAAGGCTATCAGGCCAACCTAGTCTTTGCCTCAAGACATCATGTTATATCTGCAAGAAAAAAATACCACAGGACAGGTGAAGTAGAAAATGGGTAGATGGATGATGAATGGATGGATAGATGGAAGGATAGGTAGATTAATAGGTGTGAGGATGAGTTAAAAATTAAATAGATGTTGGCCTTTGTGTTGCCTGTTCACCTTTAGTCACTGGTGAATGTGGTGTCAAAAAAGGCATAAATTAATGCTTTGCAGCCCTTTCTTACTCTGGAGTTTGGTATATTGGGTTGTAGGAACTGCATAAGTCAAAACAAAACAAACACTAAACAGATGGATGCTCAACTTGTATGTGGATGTCAAAAAGAGAAGAGGGCTGACTGGCTGGTTAGATGGTTAGAGACACTGACAGATGAATAGATGATGGTTATATTGCAAAAGGTTGAATGAACAGAAGGGTGTGTATGATGCATCAAGCAGCAGAGCCAGACTTTCAGAGCAAGATCTGTGCCCAGCGTCAACTCATCTGCTCAACCAGAGCATTGGTGCTACGGAGGATGGGTCTTGGGAATTGTAGTTCAGGGACTTCACATAGTCACAGGTGGGCATAGAAGATACTGCCAATTGATTGTTTCTTCTTTTAGGAGACAGATGGAGGCCCAGAAGTGCCCCAGTTCTCTGTCCCAAGGTCAAGTACAGACATTGTTCTAAGTCCCACTCACAGCGCCATTGATGAACCACACACACACCAGGTCTAGCTCATTGCCTGAGGGGCCATCTCAAAAGTCTTTGTCTTCATCTAATGTGCTTTTGGGCAGTGAGCCCCACTGTGGAGCACATAGTGCTGGGAACTACTTCTTGAAATTCTACCATCTCACCTGTTTCCCTCTTTCCTCTACCTAGGATACCCCAGAGTCCAGCAGAAACAGTTAAGTTCTGATGAGTGCAAGAAGAGTCAGTGAGAGGTGTATACAAGACCCAAGACCGAGACTCAAATGTACCAGACTGCTTCCACAATAACACCACAAGGAGGCCGATGCGTTCAGGGAGGGCTTCCTTACAGTGGGGTTAGCAAGAGGAAAGACCCCATAATTTTAGATGGTGACCAGCAGGGGGTGTGCAATGGCCAGGTTTGGTTCAACACTCATGCATCCCTCAGTGCTCCACCTGTAAAATGGGGGCAATAACAATGTATGGCATGGAGTGTTCAGAGAAACAAGAGCCAAAGGCATCTGGAACAGTGCTGAGAATGTTCTTCTTTACTGCAGCTTTTGGGCGATGAAACACGTTTCACCAAACTCAACAAACCCACATGGAGTTTATTGGGAAGGGCAACAAAGGGGGGGGGCAGAAATGGAAAGAACAGGAAAGAACACTCAGGAGGCACTCGCTTAAAAGAGGGAAGGGAGAGGTTTAAACAAGGCTCAGCAGTTGGGGCCGTTGAAACTGGTCCAGTTCCATGTGGCCCCAGCTCCTGGTGGTTTCTGCATACAGAGTCCGTATGCGGCCACGTAACCTTTGACAGCCTTTGAGCTGTCAGCATAATGCCAGGATATCCACAAGGAGCAAGGCAAAGAGCGACCTCCCGAAGGTAGATTCCGGGGTGAGGAAAGGTCGCCTAGAGAAGAGCGATCCCGATCGATCCCAGGGTGGGGAGAGAGTCCCAGGATTAGAGAGGCCCTGAGACCAGCAAAGGTTCCCTAAGGAGAAAGAACAGGCCCAGGAGAGGTCGGTGTGGAGTGACAGGCAGGTGCAGAGGAGAAACCACTGGGACAGGAGGAGGAGAGGAGTTGGGAGCAGGAACAAGGCCCAGGACCCAGGGAGAGGGAGAAACCAGGATATAAACACTGAGAAGGCTGCGGGGGGCGTGGCTAACGACTCTACTACCGCATCTTCCACTGGAGTCTCAGGTGATATCTGTCCTTCTAATACTGAGGAGCAAAATGGCATTCACCTGCGGTATGTGCCCCAAGGCTGTGCTAAGGATCAGAAAGGCTTGGTTCCCAGTGCCTCCACTTCAAAAGTTGGGTTTGTAGAGAGGTGGGCCTAGTTGGAGTAAGCGACCACTAGGGTGTATCCTTTGAGGTGAAGTCATGTCCCAGTCCTTTCCCTCACTTTCCCCACTCTGCTTCTCAGCTGTGGTGTGGGACGGGCATCTCTGCTCCACAACACCCTACCTTAGCACAGACACCGAGCTAGTAGAATCCAATGACCATGGACGAAGTCCTCTGACATCTTGAGCCAAGGCTTCCTCCTTCAACTTGATCTCAAATATTTTGTCATGGTGTAGGAAAGCTAACCAGAGACACAAGGAGAATTAATGATCCTCTGAAGGCCACACAGTTATCTCCTGGAACAACCAACATAATTTAATCACTTTCAAACCAGGAAAGATCTTTTGTTTAAGAGCCTGCAATCTAAGAAGGGCCAGTGGGTGGCACCAGAGCACACCCAGTCTGCCTGGAGCTGGCTCGTTTACCAGCAAGAAAAAGCACACTTTTTTGTAGGACCTCCTCAAGCAAGATGGCTTCCACTTACAGGCATTAAGTGAGTGGCCAATGCAGTCTAATCATGCTGCTTTGGAAGCTTTTGAATGTTCTTTTGGAAGTCTTGGATCTACTTTGCTTCAGTTGTCAATTTGACACAAAACTACAATCACCTGGAAAGAGGAAGCATCACGTGAAGAATTGCCTTGATCAGATTGGCCATGACCAAATCCTGTGAATCATTTTCTTAATTGCTACTTGATAGAAGGCTCAACCCACTGTGAGTCATGGTGTTTACCACATCAACAGAATAGCAGATTAAAACAGAAATCCAGTGGACAAACTACTCAAAGTAAAAACATTCACTGTCTCTAGGAAATGAAGGACAAGAGCCTTGATAATTCTGAGTCGAGAGTTGAAAAAGTAATATCCACTGAGTATGAAGATATAGACAGTCTTTTTTTGAGGCAGATTCTCACCATGTAGCCCTAGCTGACCTCTAACTCAGATCTGCCTGTCCCTGCCTCCTGCCTGGCTCCTGGTTCCTGGCTCCTGCCATCTGCCTCCTGCCTCTGTTGGGATTAAAGGTGTGTGCCACAATCCCCGACTAAACAGACTATTCATATTTCACAAGCTAAACTCTCATGCCAGGTGCTCAGCATGGCCCTTCTTGTGTCTCCAGAGCCTGACACAGTGCACAGGCCACTGGAAATGCCCTAGCAGATGTGTTCAAGAATGAGTGACTGCTAACTGAACGGATGGATGGTGCATCCTCACCACCAAGCCTGGGCATTCCTAATCATTGCACTGGGAAAGCTCCTGCAAATCCACCCCTTGAAGGTGTCATCTGCAACACTAGGAATTCAGCCACCTGGAAGTACCCAGAGAGAAGTTGTCTGAGAAGTCATTCCAAAAGGGAAGTGCCTCGCTAGGCCCCCAGTACCATATGGTTCCAGATGGCAGCTGACAATCACTGTGATTAAATTGTCAAACTGAGGCCATGCTGTAGTGTGGGTCTACAATGGCCCCAAAAGGTTGGCCTTCACCCTCACTTTGGTGCAAGTAAAAGAGGCTTGAACCATTAAGGGGTGAGTGAGTGCTTTTATGTTCCTGGAGGTATACTCTAAAAGGGAAGACTTCTTGGAGACCTACAGATTCAGTAAAATACCTATCTAAATGCTGGGCTGAGGACACAGCTTTGAGGCACTACACTTGACTAGCTTGCACCAGGCCTCAGCCAGAAGCATATAAAGTCTCCATCACAGAAGTATGGAGTCAAGCAAATATGGTGCAAATGTACCATGGAATAGTATTCACCTTAGTAAGAAAGGAAATCCAACTATTCATGACAGGATGGATGAACCTAGAATACATTATGCTGAGTCAACTAAGCCTGTGCATATGAACAAATAAATGGCAGGATTCTAATAGTCTTATATCTAGTAGTCAAAATGCTTAGTATCCCTTAGTAGAGCAGTATTACAGAGCCTGATAGAGAAACTGTAGAGTGGTTTTTAAGTGGAAACAAAGTTTCAGTTAAGTACCAGGAACAGTTCTGCACATCTGTGCTTTAACTGACAGCACAGACAGGATGGGTTGTTATTGAAAACAAAACCAAAACATAAGGAAAATCTGGATGTTGATGGAGGTGTTTAGTACCTTGCTGGTTTGGGGTATCAGAACTAGATCTTATGCAGAAAATCACTAGTATGTGATGGGAGATGTCATTCTGTAAATATGTTTCTTATACTGGTTAATGAATAAAGCACTGTTGGCCAATAGGAAAGCAAGATAGGCGGGACTAAGAGACAAGGAGAGAGGAAGTAGTAAGGAGGAATCAACATGTAGAGACTGGGGAGACCAGACACAGGCCCCATTCCCCGGTAAGATGAAAGCATGTGGAAATATTAGATTAACAGAAATGGGTTAATACTTAAGACAGAGCTAGCAGATAAGAAACAAGTAACTGGCCAACAGCATTATATCAAATACAGAGTCTCTGTGTGTTAATTGGGGCTGGTGCAGCAGGGGGTTACAAGACCAGCGGCGGGAGGAAAAACCTTACTCCTTACAAGTATGCATACATTATATATACTTTTTTATATCAGTCATACCTCAGTAAGGTTTAACACACACACAAAAGGAAGGCCCTACACTTAATAAGTTTGAATACCTCTGTAAAGATATGATGTCCTATTTATAGTTTGAACAAATTCCTATAAAAATTTAAGCTGCCTAATTGCAAATACTGAAATGTTGATTGAAATTTCAGATGGAAACTCATAGGACTAAATACAAAGAACTTCTTGAAGAATGACAAGGTTGGCAGACTCACACTGTCCAACAGAAAGTCTGGGAAAGAGCAATTTCTCAGGTTCCAAGTACCAAGCAGAAACAAAGCAAACAAAACTCACTGTCAAGACATGATGCTCAGGGGTTGGGGAACCCTCACTGGGGTCAGTTGATTTTCATGGGGTGACAAAGCCTCTTGATGGGAAAAGAATAGCCTTTCAACATTGTCTAGACGACACTCTCACACAAACACACATACACACATGTGTACACACATACACACAGCTAAGAGAGGGTTTCCTTTGCATTGCAGAGTCCATCATGCCAGTGTGATAACACTGAAAGAGTTTGTGTGTCAAGAACTAGAAAATAGAAATGGTAGCACATAAGCACCAATGTCTTAAACTATAAGGAATGCTAACAATTGTAAAAAAAAAAAATACCACAAAGCAACATTTTTCAATAAGAAATTACAGATACCTACAAAGAAGAGGCACTAGTTGTCAATCTGAAGGTACAATCATTTACAGTAACTAGT